CTATGGTATTACTATTCCCTCTGTACAGTCTGTGTTTCAGGTCTCTCCAGGGCTACACTTCTTCTGCAATGAGCCAATCAAACTGTACCCTACACTTCTCTAAGACTAGGTGAAGTTTTAGAGAAGTGCTGATGATTTAGAATTGTAGCTGCCAGGAAGCCTCGGGACCGGAAGATAATGTTAGAAGCCTAACAGGAAGCAAAGAAATATTAAGACAACTTGTCAGACACATGGATATGACTTTGCTCAGACAGAACAGCAGCTATTCCCAGATTGCCTCGTAGGCTATTTTACAATGCAAGGTGCCTAGCAAGAAGCAAAGTATGAAGTGCCGAAAGAAGCAATTGGCAGCCTGGTAGGAGGAACAATAGTCCCCTGGGCTCTCACTCAGCTCACCTCTACTCTGTTTTGCTGTTTACTTTACGTTTGCTCCAGAGTGCTCTCTTCAAACCATATCGATGTAATTCATTTTGCTCTCTTTTATTCTAAGGTCAGACCCCAAGCTTGTGACTTCATTTCTTGAAAGTCTGGCTACTCTGAACTACTCTGTCCACCCAGCACTGCCAATGTGTCACGGACCAAGCAGTAAGGTAAAAGACACAGCTTTCAAAGTTCAAAATAATGGGCTTTTTATTAACCCAAAAGTAAGATAAGACATCAGATAAATTGGGCCCTAAAAGAGGTCAACAAAAGATAAAGAAACTCAAAATACAGCAAACTGAACTGTCTGATACCTCAACAAAATCCAACTAACCTAACAAGTGACACACACACACACAGGGGAACATACTGTATATATTGGCTGGCCAAACCAAAAGCACACACAAGGGGTAGACCAAATACACTATCAAAGTAATCAACTAATAAACACTAAACAGACAGTCTGCTCTCAACTAAATATTTCCTTTAAATGTGAAGAAATTAACATACGGTAACTTGACAAATAAATTTTTAACATAAACTACCAACAAATAAACAATAAATTTCTCCCAAACTCCCCCCTTCCTTGTATTGGGCACTTGGTGCAGTCCAGGCGTAGTGGGAGGTATTTAAATCTGCTGCTTCCTCAGTCCAATTTTTTGGCTGAACTGCCCCCATCCATGGACCAGGAAACATGGTAACTCAAAAGAAAATTTACACATATTAACAATACAAAATTAATCAAACGTGCATGCTCAGTGATCAACTGTGTATGTCTAATATCAAACAATATTTACCTACAACTTAACCTACACACATAACAAAATTACCAACCCAAGTCCATTGCTGGTGATGGTTTAGCCCCTCACATGGTGAAGGCCAGGATGGAGGCCTTCACACAAGGATTGCTTGGTGATGCCATCCAGAGCATTTATTTGGTTTATTTCATAAAGTATGTTTCATAGGTGCCTTAAACTTTCATGAGAATAATCTGTATCCTTAAAGCTTTAGCTTCTGGGGCAGACAGTTTAACAAACAGTAGCATATGTACATCTAGCAGATACATCAGCACCATAATTGTTCATACAGAGTTGTGGTAGTGTCCGCCTGATGAATGTCTATTAGTCATTTGCTTTTAGCTCCGGTAAAAAATTCAAATTTAGTCTTCTGTGATAAGAACATTATGATTGAACGAATAAAATCATCATGAAAAACTTCCTAGTCACCTTTATCGTCACAGTCACCAGAATCATCAACATTATCATTGTCGCCATCAGTATTTGTCCTGCAGCACAGAAGGGTCATAGTGGCTACCAGCTGAATCTGAGTGGACTGTTCGCTGTACTGTGTTAGATATACAGTATATGCAACACATCATCAGTGGTGAGCTAGATCCAGCTAATACAGCAGCAAGGGAGCTGGAAAATCTGCAGCATCCAACAGCTTCTGCCCCAGGGTCATGTGTGTGTTCACTGGATTGCTGTAGCTTACTGTGTTATAAACAGATCTGACTGTAGTAGTCCTGAGCTGAGTTCATCATAGTCAGAGTCATGGTCTCTGATGCAAAAGAAAAATCCAGTGCACACTATTCGTTGTGTGTAGCATGTGTAGAACCCGAGTGTCAGCTACTGAGCATCACAGCAGGATGTTTGTTTTTACAGTGAAGTTGTAACTCCAACCTATAGGCAACCAAGGTCCTCAATGAAAGGATATCTGAATGTCTCCTTGTATTAAAAATTCTGTTTGACACCATGGCAGTGCCCATGAATACTCCACAGCATGACAACAATGTCCTTCAGGGTTGTCACAAGATGATGAGTCTCCTAAAGGCACCTCCCACCACCCTTAACAAATTCTGACCAAAAACAAAGAGGGAGCTCTCTATTTTTATTTAACGTAACCATCACTAACAGCATAACAGGTCTGTGATGAGGAGCCTCCTGCTCAGAGCACATCTTAGAGGAGGAGGAGGACAGAGGTGCAGCAAGGCTGTGTATCAAAGGTCACTCAGTCCACTCTTGGTATCATTTGTATATTAACACTACTAGTAATACTGGAGATGAATTTAAGACAGTGTGTCTGGTTTCATTAGTTTTGCCATTTGTTGGCTTTTTGTTTGTTGACAAACATTCTTGTATCCATAAATGTGAATACTCTGCTGACACATCATGTGTACAACCACACAGTCCACACTGAAGGTTAAAAGGTGAGTGAGAGTGTGTGTATGTGTGTGCACAGGTATTTGTTGACAGTCAGTTAAATGAATCGTAGTACCCTGTGATTACTCTAATGCATGGTGGGTAAATTCTCCAGTGAGAAAAGTTACCATTGTCAACAGAGTGACAAATCTTCATCTTTGTCCCCTGCTGTGTATTTATGTGTTTTAATGAGGACTTTTCAGAGGATTGTTTGGACCGCAGGGCAAGGATTCCATTCTTTTGGCTGGTATACAGGTTTTTCATAGATAGCATTTAGATTTAGAGCACTGAGTGCTGAAATGGAAATCTTTTTACAAGAAACTTGGAAACAAAAATCTTCCAAGGTTCCTTTTGAAGGTGCATAGTGGCTAAGCCCAGACAGACAGTAGCAGCCCACATTTTAAAGCACTTTACATGTTTTAGCCAATTCCTTGCAAATCAAGTATGTCGCTGATGATCATTTCACAGAGTGACTTGTGTTTTTCTTCATTCCAGGTTTAGAAGCATTGGTTTCACCGTGACATGGGTGATATGTGTTCAGACTGTTAAATGAAATATGTAACTTGGACTTAAGGTGCTAAAGCATGCAAAAACACGTATATGAGTGTAACACTATAATATTTAACATCGTAGGATTAATATTAAACTGAAAAGTATGTGGTTCAATTTTTACCAACAGTCTGAGTGAGCTCAGTTTGTTCTTGCTCCACCCTGATGAGTTACAACATTAAAATGATTGTCAGTAACAAGAGGAAGAAGAACAACAACAAGAATAATAGACATCCTTATTAATTTCAATTTAAATTCTTTCAAATATTTTACTGATTATACATCTGTACTTTGGTTTTAATGTAAAATAAATAGTAGTAGCAGGGTAAAGTCAGTAACAGTGAAATCAGAAAGCATATGTGTCGTTAGACCCCTTTTCCTGGGGCACATTCCCCAGTATGGATCTGCTGTGCCCCAGTAAAAATCACGTTCGTTTTAACAAGCTCCTGTATTTGGCAGTGGATACATTTAGATCAATAATAACAGAAAATCAATTTGTTCTAATCCAGAATGTCCAAGGAAAATACAAGCTGAGGCGCAGTGGCCACGGCTCGCACACTGACGTACCATACCCATGATATGAGGTGTAGCTCTGCAGTGCAGCGCGCACTCAGCACTAGGAGTGTGAAACAAAATAAAGGAACGTTAGTTTAGTTAGCCAGTACGTAAACTGATGTTGAATGTGAAGTAACATCAATGCATGTGATCAGTTGGACTAAAAACACTATTTACTACACCAAATAAAATGAATGACCCGTATGTTACATCATACATCACATGTAGTGGTCTATAGTAACTTTGGACAGTTCCTTCTGAATTTAAGGAATATAACATAATATTTGAAGCTCTTGTCATGCAGTCCAAATGATGTGCGTTGTATGCACAAACGAACCCCTCAGTGTGGAGACAGGGGTGTGACCACCAGTCATCTAGTGCACAACACAGTTTCGAAGTAACAAGACCATCGACATGTTATTGGGCCTTACGAGTTACAAAAATTATTTGATTGTTTTTCTTTTGAATTAATTGAATTAATGATTTGTTAACTTCATAGATTAACCTGTTAACATTAAAATTTGACAAATCAAACTGGGGCTTCTTGATAGTTATTACTGTGAAATGCAAAAGAATGCAAAGAAATATGCAATACAGGGCCAGACCTTCACACCATAAAACATGCTGAGAATGTTCTTACTATATTTTGAAATAAATATTTTCATAAAGTTGAATATCTCTACATTTTACCTTTACCGGTAGTGGTTTCAGTAGCAACAGTATGTCAGTGAACAGTGGGAACAGGGAAGTTCAGTAACAGTGCACAGCACATTTCATTCATGCAGCAGACGTTCAAGAAAAATGACTTGACTGTGATTTGAGGAATTAAATCACCCCCCTGTGCCCCAGTGGAGCTTTATGTCTAGCAACGCCCCTGGCAGAGAGAGCACAGTTCCATTTACCACTCCACAAATGAATATATATATGTGTGTGTGTGTGTGTACATATGTATGTATGTATGTGTGTGTGTGTGTGTGTGTGTGTGTGTGTGTGTGTATATATAATCCCAAGGTCTTTCATCAGTGCTATCATTTACAGCCTAACACTGACAGTGAGCACACTGTGAGTATGGCCACATTTTAAACAACAGTCCTTAAATGGTGAATATCAGTGATCAGTGTTCCTGGTATGAAGTGGACATCTCCATAACCTCACGCAGTATATATGAATGGACTCTGTCTGCACACTAAGTTACGCATGCAGGACCTTGCACGCTGATTTTAGCGTGAGCTGTTAATACAGACTGAAGATGAGGAACAATCACGTGTCCTGTGTTACCTGTGTGACCACAGCGACCAGGGACCGGACAGCGACCTGTGCATGAATATGTGACTCTGTAGCTCTCGCAGACGCCAGCTCGCTCTCGTCCCGCTCCACAGGTACCTCAGTGCGTGTCCCGGGGTGCACGCACAACTTCTTGGCGTAAGGAGCCCCCGGGTCCTCCTCGGCTCTGACTCTCTTCACTGCTGTTAATGGGATGCTTAAAGTTGTTGCTGCCGTTGCTGTCGTTGTCCGCTGAGGCTTCACATCCTCAGAGTCAGTGACTCGACGGAGGTATGGGATCACGAGCTGGAGATGGGATTGCGCGTGACCGTTGACCGTTTCCGTGGCAACGTAAAACGTTGACATCGGCCTGGAGCCCGCGGCGCCCACGATGCTGTTTAGTGTTGCTATGGAGACAGCGCCTATGCAGTGGTTGGTATATGTCTTGGAGAGTTTGGCAGCGCGCGACAACATCTGCATCCTCGTGCCCAACAGGTTCTTACCGATGGCTTTGTTCTCGTACCACATCACGTCGCTCGCGCAGCAGTGGTCCCGGGGCCGCTGGAAGAATGCCCTGCAAAGCGGATTCCGTTTGGACACGTACCGGACGAAGCTGGCGTAGGGACACAGCTCCGTACCCGTCTCATACATGCGCGGCAAGGTGTCCTCGTCTGGACGCTTCTTGGTCCAGGCGGCGGAGCGCGACTTGTGGTACGGTCCGAGAGCTTTAAAATAGACAAATTTCCTCCCGTCCTCATCGACAGCCAGGCCGAACGAGTCCTCCTCCAGCTCCCGCTGATTCTCCCGGCCCCTGGTGCAAAAATACATACATGTTTCGAACCAGACTTTGTTGAGCAACCCAAATGGAGTGTCGGTGTTGAACACAGCGGACTCATACAGTTTCCGCAAGTCTGAGCGCGTGATGGCTTGTTTCTGCACCACGGGACCGGCGCCCTGCTCCTCCAGCCTCTGTATGACCGCGGCCAGGGTCAGGTTGGCGCTGCGCAGCTCGGGGTCCTTGGTGAGGTCCAAGGTGCGGCAGTAGGGTGGCTCGTTTAGGTATCGGTTCAGTGAGCTCCGGATGCTGATGAGGGACGACTTGCTGTATAACTGTCCACTTTTGGAGCGCGCCTCCGCGTAAAAGGAGCGCAGCACCGCACAGAGCGCCTCCTTGTCCAGAGTTTCAAAGTCTGGACTTTGAGCTTTCTCACTGAGGTATTCCCTGAAGATCCTCACCGCGTACCGGGTGGCCAAGCGCGTGTTTTCGCTTAGTCTGTTCCGCTCTGACCGCTGAAGGTCTCCCTCTAGGTGACACTCCAGCCCCGCGGGGATGCTGCTGCTGAAGGGGTCCGCCTCTCCCTCCTCCTGTCCTCGGTCCACACTCCGCATAACGACCGCTCGTGTTTGCACGGCGGAACCGCTGGGGTCCAGCACTGTATTCTCCGATTCCCACTCCAGCTCAACACCATCTCTGTCAGACTCTTCGTCTCCCCCCCGCCCCGTGATCTGGACCACCTGGATCTCATCTTCATCTTCCTCCTCCTCCTCCTCCTCCTCCTCATTTCTGTTTCTCTCAGGGCAGCTCATCTGCTCCCGCTCCTTGTCTCCGCTGGCAGGCATTCTCGCCATATTGCGGTCTGTGAAGCAGTCCTCCGGCAGCGCGCATGCGCTATATTGGACCGCAGCACTGAAAGCCTTTTGTGTTTAAGTGACCTTCAGCCGTGCACACGCTTTTTTAAGGTACAGGGAGCGAGCACAGCGAGAGGGTAAATTTGGAAGCGCGCTCCCTTGTCAAAAAGCTGCAGTATTGGACTGCATATTGGACCAGCAGCAGGAACAGTGTGTGATGTGGTGAAGAACAGGACTGCAGGACTGTGACCTCTAGTATCACCATGAGCCAAACAAAGCCCCTGTCATGTCACTGTCATATAAAATGGGTACATAATATGAGTATGAATGTATAATCATTATGATAAATCCAGTTACAGTAGCCTTTGCTTCATTATTGCTTTTTAAAATAGTTATGTGCTGTATACATGTGCAGAGCTCTTTTATATGTGAATGTGCGTACAGCATATAGTGGGCTATGCAATTTATTTAGCTATTTGTCTGTTTAATTTGGTATATTTAAATAAGCGGGATGTTGACTCATGTTTGTATGTGTGCATGCTACAGTCACGGCCAAAAATACTGGCACCCCTGCATTTCTGTCAGATAACACACCTCTTTTCCCAGAAAACTGTTGCAATCACAAAGTCTTTGGTATTCTCCAGTTTATCTCCCTTGTTCACACTGGAACAACACGAAAAAGCCAAATTTGATACATTCCACACAGGAACTCCAAAAATAGCAAGGCTTGATTACTGACAGGACAAAGCAGACCTCAGAAGTCTGATTAATTGCAAATATGGGAATCTGACCCAGCAAAGTCAACCATGTGAACTAATTATAGTGGCACTGACTTGCACTGAAACTATGTGTCATAATCTGGTATTAACACCATCACCCTTTCAGTTTTTATTGTGCTCCATTAATATGTCCCAAATGAAGTTGTGCTTAATCTGGTTACTATGAACTAATTAAAAAGAGGACTACTGGTTTCTAAGATATAGTGCTGGTACATAAAGAGGGCAGTGAGCATGGTGGTGGCTGGGGCTTGTTACAGGTTAGTGTAGGTCAACAAAACACTGAATTTTACTTTTGGATGACCAATGTTGTTTCCTTAAGATATGAGCATTTCAAGTTGTTTCATACCTAAACTTAACCAAGCCGTTACCAAAGCATTGTCACATCATAAAAAGGTCAGTTATGTATTTAACAGTTTACCTATGGCATAGCTCCTGCAGTCTGTAAGGGGGCAACACTCCTATGGGATGTATCAGAGGGTAAGAAGAAATGATCCATGTTGCTGTTTAGGTTGGAGGCCTTGTTGGTAATATTATAAGCTGAATGTGAACTCTACTATGTTATTTTACTGAGTGAGTCAGAGATCACCTACCTTTTTATAGCCTCTGCCAGAAGTTTATTATTATTGTTGTACCTTGACATTTATTGTTATTTCTGTTCAAATGCATGTATTTGGTCCCTAATTTGGGCTCTGTTAATAAAAGACAGCAACACTGATCCAATGCCTTTTTCTGATGTGCAGTTATATTAGCAGATTTTTTTTATAGCAGCTTCTTAATATAGTATCCCATCATGCTCTATGCGTGCTCCCAGCTAAGAGCACTAGTTCCTCTCCTGAGCAAACATAACCTTGATATACAGCCTACACCCCACGTGCTGCTCTTGCTGCTGTTTGGATGACATCATCTTATCCCATATAAAGATATTGTGTCTGTTACTGTCACAGTGGGGACAATCATAATATGCTGTAATTTTTATTACATTGTGGTTCATAGAAATGCAAAACAAAAGAGATGGTAAACCTATGAAATAAGGATGAAATTATTCAAACCCCGCTGAAAAAAGAAAAACTGTCTTCAAATACAACCACACTTGCACTGTGAAATGAAAATACCCCTTTTACAGTTTAACAACACATTTCTTACTGATGAGTACCTCCAGCTGACATCAAACAATTCATTTCAGTTTTATTTGTATAGTGCCAAATCACAAGAAAAATTATCTCAGGACACTTTGGGCAACAACAATGATAACGACAATGTCAACGTCAACGTCATCGTCATCGTCATCGTCGAGAAAAACCCAATAAACCCCCCTGAGCAGCACTTGGTGACAGTGGGGAGGAAAAATGCCCTTTAACAGACCCCGGCTCTTGGTGAGCAGCCTTCTGCCTCAACTGGTTGGGGTGAGTGGATAGAGAAGAAAGAAAAGAAGAAAAGAAACAAGACACAACAAACACAACCATAAACAATCCAGCACTGGGCAGGTTGATGTGGCTGATGACTGCTCATCAGAAATGTAGAGCTCCACAGCCAGGTCGACCTGCAGAAAGGTACAGGGAGAGAGGAGACACTACGGGAGAGAGGAGACACAAAGTTAGTGATGGGTAGTGGTGGTATATAGATGCATAGAGAGGGAGGAGAGGAGATGAACACATTCCACATTGGACTGAACCTCGCCTCCATTCAGGGTGAGATACTTGAACATCTTCAAATACTTTTGACTCATTATAGACAATAAACTCAGTTTTGATCAACACTGCCATCCATAACCAAGAAAAGACCCTGCAGCCCCTTGATGCTATACAAAAGCATGGTATCTTCCTACCATCACAGTGCCTCCAGAATCACCGTCCTACAACCACACTCAGACAAGAATGGACAGAGCCATCATCTGCCTAATACACTTATGTAACAGGTAATGGCACAGATTGACCCCCTCAGTCCACAGGCTTTGCCTCTTCTGCCATAGCAGCCCTATATACTTATACATATCATTGACAAGGTTTGTATACAGCCCGACACATCTGTGCCTGGGGATACTGTACATGTGTATACAGTATATGTTTCGGGTGGAATTCAGGCAGGGGTGATTTTGTAAATGTGGCTGAGTATATAAAATTGTCACCACTGATTTTTGATGCTGTAAGTTAAGTCCCGATACAGACGTGTGTGTGTTGGCTCTCCCTCGTGCTCATCTTGTTTTTCACATGTGAACTTTTGTTCTGTTGTTGATGTGTGAGTTGATATGGGATAAGGATAATCACCTTTATTGGCCAAATATGTTACACACAAGGAATTTGTTTCTGGTACAGAACTGAGGCAGCCATCTGCAGTGTCAACTCAACCGATGGCTCTAGCCATTGGTTCAATGTCTTGCCCAAGGACACTTCGACACGTGGACTGCAGGCACTGAGATTTGAGCCTTCAACCTTCCGGTTGGGAGACAACTGCCTTACCCACCGCACCACTGTCGCCTCCCGGGAGGCTCTATCTGCAAAGCTTTGCACCCAATGTGGGGGTTAGGGTTATGTTGGTTGATCCTGGAGCTGTGCAGTCTCAAGCTCAATAGCTGACACCAAATGTACCCATTTAACTCTTCTTAGCCAGAGCACAGATAGCCTACCGTAATGAACCCATTGAGCTTAAAAACTAAAGCAATTTAACTACTTACCTAGCTAGACACCATTGTTAAGCTTAGCTTATTGTAGCTTAAAAGGTGTAACTGTCCAAATGACAGGTTTCATTTGAGAAGTGGGTTTATGTTTGATAATGAGTTATTACTATTGAGGAATTGGTTGAAATGTCATAAATAAGATGTTAAGTGTTAACACAGATGAGAAGATCTGAGAAATGTATTACTTTTGTTGGTAAAGAGGTTTATTTTGAAGGGCAGTGTGTCAACCATGTGACTGGAGTTGAGTGAGGGGCACCAATGTGGCATTATGGGACAAAGACAACATGGACAGAGAAGAGACATACAGCCCCAAAGTTATTTTCTGCACATGGTTTTAGAGGCGCAAATGGTGACATTAAGAACAAATACAACATATGTACACCACATATGTTGTATTTGTGCTTAATGTTGTTCATGTGCCTGTATTTGTATATATTTAAGATTCTTTATCGTTACTTTGTCTGTAGTTTTCACGGTGTCTGAGGAAACACAGAGAGAGAAAAATAAAACTTTCTGAAGACATCTGTACGAAGCGTGGCGATCCTTAAAACTAGAACTAAACCAGTGCAGCTACAGTGAAAACGTGTACCTAAGGGGTCAACCGCTCAGAGAGGAAGAGAGAGGGTGTGCCCGACCACTGGAGCAGCACATGGCCAAGGACAGCGTCGGAAAGGCGGCTCGCTGATCCACATTCAGGGGAGAAGACGAGAGCATCGGCTGTGGACACCGTCAGACTGAGAGTGCGTTTCGTCACAAAGACACAACGTTGACCGGCAAGAGCTACAGTTCTGTAGTATCCTTACTACAGGTTTCAGTGTGCAGTGTCTGTTTCATCCCATTGCAACCTTCAAGTGCACAGCGCAAGTACCACTACAGACGGTATTGAGTTAGACTGTGCTAACGTTACCTCTACAGTTCATCGACATTGTGAAATTTAAAAGTAAAGACCTGTTAAGTAATGCTGGTTTATTAAGGTGAAAAGTAACTGGGTTGTTGCTATAGGGTAGGGTAGAACTTTATTGATCCCACAGTGGGGAAATTCCAGTGTTCCAGCAGCAGTAAGGGACAAAAACAACAGAGAGCAAGCAACAAGACACTATAAGAACAGATACCACACACCGATCTTGATAGACAAATTCAGAAACCATGGAAAGAAAAAAACACAAAAGAGGACAGAGTTACTGGAACTCGCTGCTGCTCCGTGTGGTGCGTTTTAAAAAACTGATCGAGAATACCCAAAAACAAGATGGTACAAGCATTTCAAAATAGCAAACACCACAAGGATCTCTTAAAAACAAATCAAGAATCTTAAAAAACAGTTCGAGAATACCAAAAAGCCAAGACAGTACAAGCATTTCAGAGAAAGTCAGTCAAATCACAGACAGGGCTGTCTGTGGTCAGAGGGGCAGGGGTGGAAGTGTACACATTCCTACCATACCATACCATACCAACTTTATTTATAAAGCACTAAAAACAACCAGAGTGGACCAAAGTGCTGTACATTGCAATAAAACAATATAAATTATAAACCACAAACAACAATATAAAATATAATCAATCAAATGACTAAAATCAACACAAAAATATCAAAATGCCAGGGAAAATAAATGAGTTTTTAAAAGAGACTTAAAAACAGACAGGGTAGAGGCTTGTCTAATGGACAGTGGTAAA